TTTATCTTGAAGGAATTTTTAGTTTAATGTGACAACATTTTTAAATTTTGTGTCATAAATAGAAAATCATTTTCACCTTAGAGATTTAAAATCCCATATTTTCCTCTGATAATTTTGTGGTTTCTTTATTTTCATTTTCTTTTCCACCTAAGTGTTCAATTTAACTGGAATTTATTCTGGGACGAGGGAACAGATATTATCTAAATGTTTTTTAAGACATCTACCTATTTCTCCCAACCCAAATGTTTAATACTCTTTTTTTTTCTACTTTGATTTTAAAGTCACTTATTTAATATATAAAATTTCTTTACATTTTGGGATTTATTTATTGACTTTCTCTTCTGTTCATCTGTCTCTACATGTGTCAGTATCCCACTACTTTAATTATTTATATTATTTTGTCAGTTGTTACTTGCTGGAATACATTATACTTTGATCTATATTAAGCCAAATTGCAGAACTTTTAACTCCTGACATAAATTGTTCTATCATCCGCCAATATTTACAATTTCAGTATCATCTTCTTTCTTTCTGGAAAAGGTCCTCTATGCTGTCTTGCCGCTCCCTGTTTTGTCCTCCAGTTATGTCTTTTTGCTCTTTTGCTTCTAAACTACCTCATAGGAAGCTTTATTTAAGCAACCATATTTTTCATTCTTAATATCTTCAGTTAGTTCTCTTCTCTTATGCTTCAAAATCTTTTTTTTTTCTTTTTAAGAATTTGTTATGTTGTTTGTTGTTTTAAGGTTTTAACCTGGCAGATCCATTAAATTAGGCTTTCCTAGTGTTAGTCCTGTGTTGTTGTTGTTGTTGTTTTCCCCCTTTTGATCATGGGACTTGCGTTCTTCAAGGAGTTTGCTATTGATGTCTTTGCTAGTGGTATACCTAGAGGGGAGGTAAAACTCATACCCTAGCTTGAGCTACTACAGGTAGATTATTTGGCGTTGAGAGTTCTCACAGCCAAACTAGATTCTACAGGTAGTCCTGTACTCTATTCTCCTTGCAAGACACAGCTAGCAGTTACAAGAAGCTCTGTCACTGTTTCACCTCCCAGGTCCATAAAGTAAGGATGTGGGATGCAAAGGGTAGAACTAGTAAGTCTCCTGGTGACTACAGGTTCCCATTCCATCCTGGCTCCATGTTTTACCACTTTTCATACTGTTTGACTGGAACTGAGTACAGCCCAGATAGACAAAGTGAGAATGAGAAAAAGTGCATCTAGGAAATTCTCAAATCTAATTTCCATGATCAGCCTTTAGAGTTTGCCTTCATACACTCCAAATACATCGATGTGCACTGGGGATCTAAAGAACCCCTGTTACATGAAGGGTTTCTCATAATTTGGGGTATGTGTGTGTATGTGGGTGTGTGCACTCACATGCATATGTGTGGTACACTTTAACAAAGTCCGAAACCTTCTCAGCAACTCTTATATTGGAGTGTCCTTAGTGCTAGGATTCTTGGGAGCAGGCACACTGGTCCATGCTACTTGCTATTTGGTCATGAACCTATTAGTTTTCCCTTCTCGTAACTATTTTGAAGATAATGGTCAGATTTATACACATACTTGATTACTATAGCCCTAAATAACCATAATAAATATCAGTATGTAGCTCTGGAATTTTTTTTTACAAAGTTCTGTTTATATCATTATTATGATTATAAAACCTTATGGATAAACCTTTCCAGAATGTTTCTTTTCACTACAAACAAAAAACCACAGCCTTGGAGGCTGAAGCAGGAGGATCGCAAATTCAAAGCCAGCCTCTGCAACTTAATGAGACCTTGTCTCAAAAATAAATAAATATAAAGGGTTAGGGATGTGGCTCAGTGGTAAAGAACCACTGGAATCAATGCTCGGTTAATTAAAACAACATCATGAACATCAAACCAAAAATTGAATGTTCTAAGAGTTTGGGGGAAGGCAGATACTGTTAAATTTTTCCATTTGTATATCATATAATCTTCACATATAATAATTTTATTAAAACCTTCTTATGAGGAAATTAAACTTCAAGAGGTATAGGCAAATTGACCAAGATTACTTGGGTAGGAAGTGACAAAACTGAACTGAAATACCCAGTCCTTTCTGTTTCTGCCTGGCCTAAGGAAAGGTTCAAGGCATGCTAGATCTAAATGATTGTTCTTCATATCCATAAAGGGATAAAAAATATCTTAGGAATCATTTTAAGGTTACATAGTGTATCTACCATCCAGTATAACAATAATTTCTTTGAAATTAGATATATAAGTGAAAGTATTTTATTTTATATCCAAGATCCATCCACAGAGTAATTTAGGCATTTCCAGTTCAGTTTCCAGTAAACCTTTAACATAGTGTCTCATACAGTTCAGTTAAGTAGACTAAACCTAAGATTACCTTTAGCCATTGTTATTTTGTAAGCAATCAAAAATAATGTTGGAATATAATGAAAGGAGCTTGCTTACAGGAGGTGGTTGAAGTGGAGATGTTTCTAAAATCATGTTATAATCTTCCTCTAAGGCCTAGTTTATTTTTTACAGCAACTTAGATTTCTGACATTAAACTTAAGTATGATTATGAAGGTGAAATTCTATCCTCTTTATATTAAATTCTTTATTATCCAGGCTTAATGGTGCTAGATGCATAAGAAGTCAATAGTCCGAAACCTAGTAATTACTAAACCTTAGTGATCCCAGAATCTGTATTTTGTGAATCAATTTTTTGTTTTTATTTTGTGTTTAATGAAAATAGTGCTGATATTTAATTACAAATTCTTAAAGTAGAGACAACTCAAGTTGGGTAATGCTTTACTACCTGAAGGTTCTAAAATGTGTACTTGGTACTTCTAAGTAGTACAGCAAATATGAATCTTTTAAAATATAATTTCTAATGACATAGAGAAAAACATGAAATCAGGTTTTGATTTTTTTGTTATATTTTTACAATCTAAGCTTTAGAAAATTAGTGTATAGCTAATCAGCCAAAATCTAGCAAAGATAATTTGGCTGTCTACAAGAGGTATAAACAAGATAATTGAAATGAGATAAAAGATAATTGAAAAAGGAATGTTCAGCAATGCGAAATGTGGAACTTGGCTTCCAAAATAGGAGGAAATGTGGTTCAGAGTGCCCATTGCTTGTGTTGTACATATTGGGAAGGTTTAGGTTCTGAAGAGTCTCAGATTAAAAAGAAAAATAACATCACTCACAAGACACTGAGAGAATGTTGCTTTTCCATAGCAATGTGCTACTTTACCTAACTCACTAAAACAAGTGTCTCTCAGAGGTTCCCTTTTCCAAATTTCAAACATAAAACTCCAAAGTCAGCTGTTAGCTGAGATAAATGTAGATAAATATTAAATTAGTAATATATACCTTAATGACAAATATACTCTTTTTGAGCTTCCAAAAAGGAATGGGACTTAAAATATATTCATGTCTATAAACATTTTGATATCTGAACATTGAAATGAGAAAATTGAACCTGACGAGTAGCTGAGTCAATGCACAAAAAGAGACAAATACCCAGAATTTTAAGTATGAAATCTCTATTTTAAAAGGTTGTTTATAAGATCTGTGTTGAAAGCGTGAATGGAGTAAACTCAGCTTAGCAGTTGAGAGGCTGGGACTCTAACTCATCATGACCAGGCTTCGTCCAAGAGTAGAACTGAAAACTTCCTTGTGAACAGCAGTTGGGAAGGACCTCATGACATCTAGAAGGAGAAGAAGGGGCTTTAGAACACTCAGAAACAGTGACTAGAGAGAGACTGACTCATCAAGTGCATTCATATGCTGATTCTTAAAGTCAGATCATGGAGTGGAAAATCTTGGTCACTTATATGAACCTAAGGATTTTCCTTTTTTTAAAAAATTTTTTCTTTCTCAGAAAATAGTGTCTGAATTATTAAAAATACAGTGTGAACTACTGAAATTTTCCTGGTTTACGTTGGTCGAAAGGGATGCTTCATAAGAATTTATCAATGGGCTGAGGATGTGGCTCAAGCGGTAGCGTGCTCGCCTGGCATGCATGCGGCCCAGGTTCCATCCTCAGCACCACATACAAAGATGTTGTGTCCGCTGAGAACTGAAAAATAAATATTAAAAAATTCTCTCTCTCTGTATCTTCAAAAAAAAAATTTATCAAGAATATTAAAGCAGGACTGTTTTACTGTTTACATTTTAGAATGTATAAATGCACTCTAAAGTGAATGAAACAAAATTTGAAGTTTATGTAAATAAAATATTTTGCATTGTACTATTTAATTATTTTATGTTAAGTATCAGAAAGAGATCCTTATTTAAATATTAAAAGAACATTAACATTTTTTATTAGTTACTTATTTCTTCTGCTGTAAACTGTTAAAAATTGACTTGGAATGGATAGAAAATGCCAATTAGGAAGTCTCCATATAGTAAAATTAAGAAAAAAAGCAAGAATTTGATGAAAAAATCATAGTTCCCTCATGACCATTTGTACAACCCACAACAGATTTACACTGTAGCAATGCAGAGGCCAAAGATACTTGGGTTTGGTTTCATCATCATTATTGCTTTTACCTTTCCTTATTCTAGTACTCAGAGATCTTAGTGAGATTTGAATGTTTTATTTTAAATGAATATTTCTCGAAGCTTAAGTCGGTTGAGACACTTTAGCAGTAATGATGCTGATATTTTGACAAGAAAATGTTCCCATTTTTCAGTTTGCTAAGACACACCTGCACATTAGAACCAACCAAAAGTTTTCTATCTTTTATTTATGGGAACATTATACTTTTTGAAGCCTGCTCACATGCATTGTTTTGCTTTTTAAGAAAGTATTATTCCATTATAGAAAGCAATTATGAAGTTAAACTTAATATGTGCCTATTTTATATGTTTATCTGAAAAAATTTAAGATAAATATTATAAATAATATTTATAATAAGATTATAAATCTATACTGATAAATAAAAATGTTATATTCCCAAAATATGAATAGCCTGGAAGCAATGAGATTATTGTTGGCTTTTTTGTTTCCTCAGATAAATTTGCAAAGAAAAATGAGAGTTACTGGTGTGATTACCCAAGGGGCCAAGAGGATTGGGAGCCCAGAGTATATAAAATCCTACAAAATTGCCTACAGTAATGATGGAAAGACTTGGACAATGTACAAAGTGAAAGGCTCCAATGAAGACATGGTAAGACCGACTCCTTAATCCACATAAGTAAAAGTAAAATGCTATTTTCTATCACTGATGATTTCATCACAAATGAGCCTTCAGGAGAAGCCTATGTTGAAAATGTTTCTGGTGATTTTTGCTTTTAATTGGGCTAGTGAAATGAAGAGAGCAGGAGTTTCTCCAAGTTATAAACTTACAGCAGTTGTTATTTAAGATGTTCTTAGATTTTAACTAGAGTTCCAACCAATACTTTTTGCAAAGTTAGCAAAGCCTTCACTTTCCCAGAAGTCAACTTTCAATTTCGTCATTACTGATTTTACAGACAGTATGCATCTTTAATCAAATAGCTGTGGATCAAATCTACTACTTTAAAAATATTCTACAGGAAATGGATATAATATGCAATACAATATGATATTCAGAATTTTGAAATTGTTTCTCAAAAATTTTAAAATTAGAGATATCAGAACTGCAAATCATCCCATTTTAAAATCATGCATCAGATTAAAATCTGAGAAATTTTTTGAAATATTTTTTAAGTTACCCTCTCAAGTGAATTTAAATAAGATTTTCTGTTTGCCAGGTTTATAAAATGTATACTAAAAATGAGATATAAAGGAACTACTTGATTTTTAAAAGGAAAGTAGCTTTTACTGGAGAATACCTATAAGGAATTGTCAGCCTCTTTGCCATGATCTGGGACTTGTTGATAAAGGTAATCTTTATCAGTCAAACCCTAAGCATCATAAATCTGATTATAGCACTAGAAAGACAAAGTAATCAGGAAGCACTACTGGAAACTAGTCTTTACTCCAAAAAAATGTACTGAGTTGCAAAATGAACAGATAGACCCAGATTCAGTTGAATGATTGAAGGTGCCATTTCTCAAAAAAGAGAGAAGTAGTCTCCCAGTTCTAAGGGCTGGCCTTAATATTGATAAGACCACCCTAAGAAAGTATGCCATAGGCCACAGTGGTTTATAGCTTTAATTAGTTTTTTATCTATGGGTTTTTTATTCACTACTGATGGTAAGGTACTTCTTAAATGCTCCAGGCCCAAAAATATTTAATATAATCTTTTAAGAATTATGTGCAATGAGGGTAAAGGTCAGCATAGAAAATAAGTAAAGAAGCTACTGCATTTAATAAGTTAAAATTCTGTATTATGTCTTTGACCAGGTGTTCCGTGGAAATGTTGATAACAACACACCCTATGCTAACTCGTTCACACCCCCCATAAAAGCTCAGTATGTAAGACTCTATCCCCAAGTTTGTCGAAGGCACTGCACTCTGCGAATGGAACTTCTTGGCTGTGAACTATCTGGTGAGTCTCATATTACCTCTTTCTGTACTGTCTTTAAAGAAAATAAAAAGCACATTTGTATGTAGTCTGCTACTAACCTATAGCTTTCCAAATACCCATGGAAATTAATTTCTGCTTCAAAATGTCCAGGGCATGTTTCAGTCAGCTTGCCACTTATGCATAAAATGAACAAGTTCAAAAGCATGTTATAGAATAGAATTAGTATAGAAATAGTAATGTATTTTGTGGAGTGGCCAAATAAAGTACAAACAATCCTCACGGGAAACTTGTCAAATTTGGATGTATCTTATTGTTTTGGGTAGAAACGGTGATTTATGTTTTGTGACAGGAGTTCAGCATAAAATGGAATCTGTCTGACCTCATAAATTGCAGTTAAGTTTACGATATATGGTACAGGAAAGTAAGCTTTGTCGTTGTCTACCTACCATAAGAACTTGGTGCTTTTTTCTTCTTTTAGATTTTATAAAACATGTAAATTTATCATTCCTCCCTAGGGAACAATACTTCAATACCAAGATTGCTACTATAAATTTATTCTGGGATCATTCTTAGCTAGCAACCTGATTATTGTACAAATAGTGGTTATCCAGCTCGAGAATAATCTATCAAAGGACTCAGCGTTAAGTAATTCTCGTCCTCTGGGAACATCAATACTAGACATAAAGATGAAGACTTAATGCGTAGATCTAACAGTGGTCCTATTTCATTATAGATAGATTCTGAACAAAATATAAAATCTTCTAGAGGTACTTCACTGTTCTATATTTTTAGTGGTTGTTCTTATGTTTCTAGCCTCAAACTTTTCCTATATTTGCCACAGAAGCACCAAATTATTTTGTTCAAGCAACTGAGAAGAAAATTTGAAGTTCATGTGTGTTCACTTCTTAGCATAACCTAAAAAATGTGGAAAATATTTATCAACTTAAAACAATACCTTTTGAGAAAATAGAAAATTAAGTCCTTGGAAAGAGACAACTGTGTGGTTTGATTGATCTATTAAAGTGCATACTTTATATCCATTTCACTTCTTAGTTTTATTTGTGATACCTAAAAAGGGAATATTTTTATTTTATCTTGAGATGGCACCTCTATAAGTTTGCCAGGATGATGTCAAACTCACAATCTTCCTGCTTCAGCCTCCTCGGTAGCTGGGATTACAGGAGTAAGCCACCACACCAGGCTAGGGAATAATTTTTAAACAAATAAAAAGTAGCACTAAAATGTGAACAATTTTTAATTAGCCCATTGCATTTAAAGAAATTAGATTGATTACTCTAGATGAGTGAATCTATTTTAAGAATTACATTTCATATTCTATATCTGCATATTTTATGAAGCAACCAATACACAGCTTTAGTGCAATTAATTATTCTAACAGATTTTTTTTTCTTATTTGGTAATTTCAGTCAGTTTATTGGCTGTCAGTAAATCTTTGAATCATTGCTGTATAGTGTTTGTGTTGCATGTCACTATATCACCTGAGGCCAGTGCCATCCCTAAGCCATTCATCATAAAGTAATCAGGGGGAAGCCTCAATATGATGAGGTTCACTATAAGCCCTGTGGTTTTTAGTTGCTCAACATCACCTTCCCCAATTTTTCAGTCTTCTGATTCATGAGGATCAGTCTCTCGTACATGGCATGGATACACCCCTAAGGTGTAAATATATTTTACTTTCAAGTTTGACAAGAGGTTACACCTGACACTTTACAGATTTTGTTTTCTGAAATAGAAGTAATGCTCTACTTTCCAAGTCTGCAAATTGATTTTGAACTTGCATGCAGAGAATAATACCTCGCAGTGGTTGTTTTTAAAAACTAGAGCATTTTACTATAGAAATAACCAGTTTCCGTGTTAATACCTTAATTTGCTCAGCTGCTGTTCACACTGGCAAAAGAGTTAATTATTTTTATGTGCATGAAAATAATACAAAATTGGAATTTGTGATAGAGGGTATATTGGCAGAGAAGTTAGCTGTAATACTTGGAAATAAATACACACATAAAAACCCAAACTATTTTCTTTAGTGGAATGCAATGCTGTAAATTCCTTTTGTTGTTGTTGTTGTTGTTTGCTTTTTGCAATAAATTGTCATACAACCTTTAACCCTGTCAAGAAGATCAGTAGTTAATCTCTTTGTAGACCCTTAAAAATAACAACTTTTAAATTATCTGAAAGAGATATGACTTATGTGTTTGGAATAAAATAGACCAGACCGTAATTAGAGGAATGAAACTCAATTACTTATTCTTTAAGCAAATAATTACTCAGCATTTCAGCCTGCTAAGAACTATACAATAGAATGAGTATGAATTTAATTTTATGACTAAGAAGAATTAGTCAAAGGCATTCTTTTTCTATATAATCCCTAAACTGGTATTCTATATAAGAGAAGGGGAGAAAACAACTACTTTTATTTTCCCTTGTATCTATGACAACTAACATTTTATAAAGACTTAGGAAACAGTGGTGGGGTGGGGGTGTGGATAGAAATCTAACCAAAATCTTTATAGCAGACAATGCAAGTTACTTTAGAATTAGATAAGCAGCATGCCAACAGGGGTGTTAAGACTTTATAAAATTTTTGAGAGTTGTTATGATATTTTTCTCACTCAAATTTTGCTTTTAGGTATTAATGCTATCTTTACCATAGGACTCAGGATGTATTCCTCCTCAGCAAGACTCCTGTAAAGATAACAACCCTCCATGCCATTTTTTTGTCATGGTTGGGAAGGATAGGACATTCCTAGGCAGTGGAGGTCAAGACAAAATTGGAGGATACCCAAGGAAAACAAGTGACCTAGATTGACCAGGACAGAAGACAGTTGGTTGTGCTTAAGAATTATCAATGAAGAATTCTAAACCAATCTCTCAGCGCTTAGACATAAAATGGCCTAGTTCTAGCAACTTCAGTCAGTCACAGGATCATCATTAGTACTCATTAATAAACTGATATTTGGAGACTTTTAACATTGTTTTTTGTTGGAATAAGTTTTATGGAAATAGTAAAAATAGCCAACCCTTACTAAATGCTAAATGTGCCAGTAATGCTTATAAGTTTCATGTTTATTAACTAATTTCTTAGAACACTTCTTGAGGTAGTTTCTATTATTATCACCATTTTACAGATGACAAAACTGAAAGTGGCTAAATAATAAAAATACAAGACCACTCAGCCAGTAAGTGGGGGAACAGTAGAATATACGAAGAAGGTATCAGATTGGATAAGTCAGTTCTTTTATCTTTGCTTCCTTGGTCAAACTTACTTTGTGACTATCTTGGCTAAATTATAACAATTTGACTTAAGAAAGCCTCAGTCACTAGCTAAAGATGATTGAATCATGCTTCCTATTACAAACTCTGTAAATAAAATTTTGTCAGTCATAGTTTGAGATTGGGAAATTATGTGTGTGT